CACAGGCAGAGCAGGCAGTTGACCTCTGCATTATGAAGGGCCTCCATAACTGTACCACAGTACAATATAGGTAATGGCATGTGTTTCATGTTTACATTGTGCACTCCCCACCAGGTACAATATTCTGATTGTTTGCATCTTGTTTTTAAGCCCATAAATAACAATGTACTTGTTCTAATAAATTTATATTGCAATGTATCTGCACACGTGCCACAATATCGATACAGGGCCAGCTGTATCGATACTCGTATCGTCAAATCTCTGTGACGATACATCGTCGTATCGATATTTTGAACACAGCACTACTGGTGGCCCAAAATTGCTTGGGGAGTCTCCCAATTCGTCAAGAGCTGCTCAGTCTGTGCCATCTCCAAGAATCCCCGACACCTACCGCACGGTAAACACATGGTAAACCCTCGTCAGCCCTGGTCCCACCTCAGTTTTTGTGACTGATCTCCCTCCTTCCAACTCCCGTACCTGCATCCTTGTGGTCATAGACAGGTTCTCTAAGACCATCAATGAGAGATGAATTGGAGATGTCATCACTGCATAGCTTGCTATCCTGTTTTCTAATTAAAGCACATCCATAATGGTAGTGAATGTGTGTGCGCGGCTATCTGAAGGGACTTTGCCTGCATGCAATTCTCAGTACTTGACTTTCTCTGGCTTTTCTCTGTGCTATTAACATCAGCAACATTTATAACACTGTCTTAACAGCGACACTAAAAAGTCTACTAAAGTTTCAAAGGGGTGAAATGTATCTTTTGGCTCTCTTGAGTTCTTATAGATAAATTGTGGTATGAAAGTGAACTTCCACAGATTCACAAAAATTATGGAAAATAAACTGATTACTGAGTTAGCAATCCACCCACTCACAGCACCTCCTTAGGTCATGTCCATATTGAAATACACTAAAAATCTTTTTTTCATGACCTCTCAGCCTCCTTACTTCAGAAGTCCACCACATGCCGGTGGTTGTAACCTTGAAAAGATGATTTGTAGTTTAAAACCATGTCTAGGGAGATGTGCCATGGCCTTTGATAAAGTACTTGAGTAGAGTCTATACATCTTCAGCAAAGCGGAGCATCTCTTTTCCTCTGTGCTATTTTGAAAAGAAAAGTTGCCATTGTCAGTGATAGATTATTAGACCACAGCCCTTGGGGCTCATGAGGGACTGTATGTTACTCTCCTGTTCATAGCAAGATTAAAAGCCACCTGATTCAACACTAGATGACTAGATTGATTTTGCCATATTACACCTGACCTTCACCGTACTTCACACTAAATAAGAAAGGCCTGTATTAGGGCTTTGTGGTCACAATCATACTATATATAGAAGTATCACAAATTCTTGTGAATATACATTAACAATATATCATAATTTCCTGTTTTCAGTCATTTTTTTTTCTTTTTCAAAAAGATTGAAACTGATCCCGCAGATTCACTCGTGGGCATGCTGGATCTCTCTCAGCTGTGATCCAGTTAAGATGTCATATAATTAATCATAACGTGTTGCGATGTGTAACATATCATGAGGTAGTTAAACCTAATGATACTCTGAGGAATCCAGCATTTACTATAAAATGGCAGTTCTATTGTGGGTTCACAGTGCATACTTACGTCACTTTTACAATAACTTTGCTCATACCAGGTGCAGCGTCAGGGTGTCTGTAAGGATACTGTCCGTCACGCTGGGCTGCTGACTGATCTGTGATTCAAATCTACAGCGTGTTGAGATCTCTCCTCGCACTGTTTCCTCTAATAAATGAATGCTGATGAAGACTGGTCCATTCTCTTTAGTCTGTGCAAAGGCCATAATGAATAGCTATTATGTGTCTCTATGAGTCTGATCTAAATTCAATATGCAATCACATGCTCCTTCAGTGCCATACCCCCCACCCCCCCAAAAAACAAAAACAAAACAAAAAAAACTAAAACACAGGTAGAAAGAGCAAATGAAGAATGAGAGGCATGACCGGTGTTGTGACATTACAGACAGACCCACCTGCAAGAATTGCACAGAGAGAAAGTAAACAAGTGCGTGCGTCTGCTGAATCTGTCAGCAACTGTCAGCTTTATTCTTGCTGTTTTTTTAATCAAAAGAAAAATTCATGGCAAAAATGTTAAAATGTTCCCATTGCAAACCTCCAGCTCTGGGACTGAGGCATTTGCCATTATAAAGGCTCAAAGAGCCTGTGGACACCAGTTTGATGTCCCATAATTCCCTGGAAGGGGTAAAGTTAAGGTAATCCTCTGGTTCATGTTGTGTTGTGAAGCTCTAACCTGCAGTTCTTTATTCTTGTAGATTATTAGACTACATATTAATTTAACCATTAATAGTGCATTTTGTTACACTAAATTATTACTAAATTCTTTTTTTTTTTTTAATCAGACAGAAGCATCTATTGGGATTAAATACAGTATGATGTGTGT